TGTATATATATATATATATATATATATATATATATATATATATATATATTGTGTACAATCTGATACTGTTTTTGGTGCAAGTGTTCTTGACAAACGTGATAACCAGTGAATAAAAATAAATTTCTACATATAAATAGGCTGTTGCACCTTTGAAATGCACCACAGCCTCAGATGTATAATTGACAGATGCAGATCCAGGACACAATTGGCTGTATTTCCAATTCATTCTCCAGGTAATGGGCTCTCTGAGGATCCAGGCCAATTTGACAAAAATCTGAGTTACTTCCACATGCGTGACAGTGACCCCTCACATAGCTGTGAGACAGAGGTGAAGGGAATCATGGGATTGACGTCAAGCTTCTGCGAGCTGCTCATGATTGACATTAACCTCCCTCACTGAAGGCTTATTGGAACTGCTGAAATCAGTATAAACTAGATAGGGATCGGTATCGGGCCCGATACTGAGCTGCTGTACTCGTACTCGTACTCATTAAAATGCCCCGATACCAAACGCAGATACCACACAGCATGTGATAAGTGCCATATTCAGACAAAGAAACACAGACAACAGACAGCAGAATGGAGTTATTAGAGATTAAAGATGTCTACGAAGTATATGTATGCAATGAATATAAAATATTCAGTATTAATGCCTGTATAGCTGATTTGCGCCAGCAGCGAATAAACTGTGATAATGTGAGAAATTTTGAAGGTGTCTGAATACATTTTGGTTTGAGTATCTATTTGATAAATTAAGTTAACCAACTAACATTATACATACTCTTTTGGTTTCTGTACCCAATATTTAAAAAATTTACAAATGCAATGAAAATATTGGTATCGGTACTCTGTATTGGCAAGTACCAAAAATAAAAGTATCGTATCGGGCGAGTACTGGAAAAAGTGGTATCGGTGCGTCCCTAAAACTAGAGAATGATAATAATTCTAAAAGCATTGATGATTAATACTAAGACCAATGTCAAAAGAAGCACATTTCTGACAGTAACTTTTGTGTATTCCTGTCATTTTTTTAATCCATTGGCAGGACAACCTTTAAAATTATATTAAAACTTTTTTTTTTGTTTTATTTACTAT